TAGGAGCCAACACCACTTCTCTTGGAAGTTGGTACCAGATCCTAGCCGCCCTGACAGTGAAGTAGCACCTCCTGATGTCTAGTCTGAATCTACCCTCTGCCAGCTTGTGACCGTTATTTCTAGTCACTCCTGGTAAAGCTCAGGGGAACAGGGACTCCCCCAGTGCCTGCTGGTCCCCCCTGACTAGTTTGTAAATGGCCACTAGATCCCCCCTCAGCCTTCTCTTGTGGAGGCTGAACAGGTTCAGGTCCCTGAGCCTCTTCACATTACAGTGTTTTGTTTATTCTGTTTAGTTTGATGTAGAAAAGGGGGAAGGCCAGATCCTGGGCCTGGCTAAAGGAGTAACAACCCACTACGGGCATATTCCTTTTCACCACAGAACGTAAGTCTCCCTTCTTGATGAAATCCTTACGCCATCCTGGGTTTGGACCCAGGGGTGCAGATGTTTATTTATTTCAATGTAATTCATTATATGGGCCCTAGATTACCTCTAATGTTGATGCTACATGTGTAGGGTTTAAGAATCCACGTTGGGAACAGCTTAGGTCAAAATAATGGAGGAAGATTATTTTAATCAGAAATACAAAAGTGCTGCAAGGCCCTTTGACCCTTCCCATCCCTGGCCCTAGTTTTGACACCAACTTGTTCTGTGATCCTGATCAGCTGCTGAAACTCTTTGACTATATTAACATGGCAAAATGCAGGACTATGCAGAGAAATCTGTGCTAGCTTTAAATGACTAATGTGTGTAGCAGAAAAAGTATAGCACAACACTGCCCATGGTACTAAGTTCTGTTGAGAAATAAGGTACCCAGGCAGTGTCCTGTGGTAATGCAGCTATACTGCTTCCTGTACTTAGGCTATTAATTCAGAAGTAGCTTGGGCAGTAGTAGTTATGGCACTCAACTCTACTGTATAGACACCCGTTATGAGTCAGTTGTGGAGATTCTCTCATGTGAGCATGAGTATTAACTCCATGTCTTTGCCTACCACTGTCAACTGCCCAGTACAGCCTGAAGACAGAGGTGAAAAGGTGACCTTTGCACTACCCTGATGCTGTCTTTGTGCTAGATTGGTCCCCCAGGGCATGTCTACACCAGGTTAGTACTGTGCCAGTGAGGTGATTGAATTGGCTATTAGATAAAAGCTCCAAAAAGCCCCATTGAAGCACCTGATCTATGCAGATGCTGTGGAGCCAGGTTGAAGAAACACACTACTTCTTCCAGTAAAGCGCAGTTTTTGGGGTGGGGGGTTTACCATCTGCAAGCAACCAGTATTGGTACACACAACCACTGCTACACTAAGACAGCTACATTACTTCCATTTATGAGGTAGCAGATAGGGAACAGGTGTGGGACTGAAGTGGTGTGCATGTACACCCATTGTTATTTAGGGCATGAGCATTTATGAACAGAAAACCTGAAGTCTTGCCTCTTAGACCATCATCAGGGGATAAGAAATGGCATAGGAGCAGCTATATCCATTGTATGCTATCAGAGGATATTCTTGCCTTGGGTCATCTTCTGCTAGGTGCCTGTCTCAGTTTTAAGGCTCAAATTTGTTGGTGGCTTGAACACTTGCAAAGCAATTTGAGAATCTTAGATGAAAAACCTTATGCAAGTTAAGTATTATAGTTTAAATTGCTATTAAATGCTGCTTATACAAGATTTATAAGCATTTAACACTTATTAATCCAAGATAAATTAATTTTAATAAATAGACACCTGGCAATAAGTTGGCAATATTTTGGCAATAAGTCTTTCTAGTATTTGAAGAAAAAGGATTGATTAATGACATTCGGGTTAATTCAGAATAAAACACATTAGATATATTTGAAACAAGGCGATAGCAGCCAACATTGGCACTGTGCCAACAGGCATCCCACCTCAGACATGTTAAAGCAGCTGTGCAGCTATTGCAATCCTAATAACATTGCATTGTTTCAGTATGTAACAGCATGATCTATAGCTCATGCAATGCCAGTAACTGAAATATCCTAGCCCAAATTCTAACGTGATGCTTCTGGTTTTCTGCTGCAGCTTTGAAAACTATTTATAATATTCCAAGATACATTTTCCAACACCATAACTGTATAACTAATTTTATGAGTAGTTTTTTAAAGGTTTTCTGGATTTCTTTGAAGTGCTCACATACTGAAGTGATGAACCCTATGAAATGCTGGTCAGATGGGAAGGCAGTACCCCCTCAGTCTATCCTATGTAGTGTAGCCTTTTTTTCCTGGGATCTCTTGATATATTTAATAACTTTTACAGCAGCAGGACATTGGCTGCTGTGGTCCGATCTGCTTTACCTGTGGCAGGCTAGGGCGTTATGTTTTGTGTTGTGTCAACTAATTTTGCTAAAAGGTTAGCTTTGTATAGGATGATTTGGATAGGAATGATCCTGCCTCAGGCCAGGAGTTAGTCTAGATGATCTCTTGAGGTCTCTTCCAGCCCTACTACTCTATGATGCTATACCATGGATAAATAGTGAAGCACAGCATCATGTGCAAGAGTAGGGATGTTTGCTCTTGAGTTCTAATTCCAGGTCTCATGCCAATTCTTCCTGTGGCCTTCAAACAGTCTTAAAATCAGTCTGTTTTCTCATCTATCAAAGTTTGACTTTTACATACGTTACCACAGATTACTTAGTTTCAAAATAAAAAAACATTATAGCACATAAATGTTAAATAATATTACTTTAGCCAATGTAAAGACCCTATTTCAAGTTATGTAGCAACTTTTCAAATTTCATTCCTTTATATGCAGCTGCCATAGAAGGTCAAAGCATGTTTATGTATGGTGCCACTTAATATACTTTACCATTAATGCAGGGTTATTTATATTTTGTAGCACAACTATAACTATTCGCAAAGATTATATGATTACTAATCAAGGAGATCAAATAGCATATGTAATATGGGTGAAACTTTACCTTGATGCCAAGTTTCATGCTTATTATGCTGTTCTATATTGAACATGTACTTTAATTTCTAAAGAGTTTTGTTTTCAGGAAAGTTTTAAAAGGGATAATGTGTTTGTTAATTATAAGGATTTTTCATAATATTTTAGTGATTTTTAGTTACTCTTCATGATAATCCTTGTAATTAAAATCTGTTTTCATAAGAATATTATCCTATCAAGAGATAGTTGGAGTTATGGGGAATGCTTGTTACAGCAAATACTGGTCTATTTTTTTCTTTAAAAAAAATCCAGAGCCCTTTGTTTTGGCAAATACCATAGACCAGATCCTATTTTGATTTCTGCCTGTCTAAGCCTATATGGTCACACTAAATAATCTGCATCTCACCTCAGGAGAAAGATCCTGCTCTGCCCAGGCAGGGATATAGTTTATGCATTCTCTTTGTGGATAGCCTATTTTATTTTCAGAGCTTGTACCTACTGAGCAGGGAGTCAATGAGGGGCAGCCAATACAAAATGCCAGCAGCATGGAGGAAAGAATGCATTCCTGTCCCTCTGGCATCTGTCTCAGAGCTGCCCATTACATTACATGGCTTCCTTACTGGACGGGACGGAGGACCTACCTACCCTTGGCACAATAGCCTAGGGATTAAAATAGTGGCCCAGGAATTGGAGACTTACAAAGTTGTAGGTCCTGCTCAGCTGAGGGAGTTTGAACCCCAAGCAAGTGCCCTAAGCACGAGTCTCTGGTCTAAGCAGGAATGAGGGCACTTAACACATCTCCTGTTGAAGCTGAACCACTCAACAAAAAGGACTGGAACAAGCATAGGGTCAGCGGAGCATGACTCGGTAGTCCAGCTATTAGGGCCCTTCCTTAGGAGAGTGGGAGCCATGGGTTATGTGCTTAATGTTCTTAATATATTTTGAATTAAATAGCCAATGTATGAAATGATGATGACTCCTTATATTTCTTTTTTTTTTTTTTTTTACTTATGTGCTTAAGGTTAAGATGCAGGTGCATTACAAAAATAGACACATTAATGGCCTTCTAAAGATGCAAGATGACTGGAATAATATTGCGTTTAGGTGGCTTGTATCTAAGGTTAAGTCTGTTTCTGCTAAGGAAAGAAGCCTGTTTGCTCTAATCAGCATGTAACCAAGCTTGGAAAATTAAGCTATTTCTATAGACAACATCCTTCTGAGCCAATAAGTAACTTAGCCCTGCCCACTTGTTCCCACTCAGCATGCCACCCCAAATTAGGCAGCACAGATGGCATAGAGCAGCCCTGAGCCCACACATTGAGACAAAAAGCCTGAGAGTGGTGCTAGAATCTGGCTGATTTTGCTATTCCTTATCAAGATAATTAGTAGCTAAATTTACAAGTGGTTTGTGGATTTGTAGATTTTAATGCCAGAAAGACTGTTGCAGTGCTCTTATCTGACCACTTACATAATACAGGCCATCAAGTTTCACCAACTGATTCCTGCATCAAGTCTGTCACTTCTGGCTGAAAGATATTCAGCCTTATTTTAAAGACTCCAAGTGATAGGTAATTCATCCCTTCCTAGGCAAGCTGTTCTAGTGGCTAATTATCCCCACTCTTAAAAAAAGAAAAAAACAAAACACACTGTTTTACCAGTCTGAATTGTCTAGCTTCAGCTTCTAGCTACTGAATTGTGTTATGCCTTTGTCCACTGCATTAAGTAGTTTTCTGTTATATAAAATCTGTTCCCCATAGGGGTACTGACAGATCATAAGTAAAGCGTAACTAAATGGTGCTCCTTTGTCCTCTCACTGGAAGGCAGAATATTTAGACAGTTTTATTATTTTATTATTTAGACCGTTTTAACAGGGTCTGGACTTTGAGTTCCTTGGATGCTCTGTGTTATATTTGGGTAAATAACTTGCTGGCTTTGGGCAACTTATTTATGTGAACTTTGCAAGTGTGTCTAAAGAAGCAAAAGGAAAAGTGATATTGTCATAGTGCCCATTTTCCCTTATTTTTTAAATTAGTTTTTATACTACATTGTGCCATATGTATGTCTTGGTTCTGAGTCTCATTTTAAATTGTTTTCTAGTGTGATGAAAGGAGCAGTGACCTTCAGAGTGCACTCAAATCTCCAAAACATTTCCACTGCAGATGTTACCAAAGCAGCAGGTAAGAATCTTTACTGCCCTCCGCACCCTCCTTTCCTCCCAAAAAACCGAGGCCCACCCACTATTCAGTTCCACTCAGTTTAGAAGACAGCATCAACAACAACAACAAAGGGAAGGCACACTCTCAAAGGGAGATTGACATTTAATGAAGGAGACAGTTGAGGGGTGAATGGCACATATGGGAAATTGAAGTGTAACATCTCTGAGTCGATTAAAACTGCCTGAGACTTCATTGTTTATAGAGGAACTGGATTAAACAGAGATGTAGACATGGCCTAGCATACTGAAAAACCCCTCAGTGGTGTGTTTGACAGAGAAAAAATAGAGACTAGAGTATTATAAGATGTGAATTTGACATCTATGACTTAAAAAGAATGACATTTTAAGGAATAAAAGCAGCATTTTTGTAATTAGGCCTTTAATTGTGACTCCAAAAAAGTTACAAATATACTTTTATCTCTAAGTTACTTTGACAGTTCACACAAGCCATAAATCATGGGAGACACTGTACATCTAGAGCTATACATCTTCAGTGTAAAGGCCCTGAAGTAGCCTTATCATCAGCTTGGATATCAGTTGCATTATGAATTGTAGTTTATGAATACAAGATATCAAATAACTGAAATGGTAATTGATTTGCTTACAAATTACCTTATGGATAGTTTTTGCTTCCTAAGAATAAATTAATCAAATTGATGTTTTAAAGTAGGGATGAACAAGCTCAGTTTGGATAAACAAACAGAAAAAATAATTACTAGTTTAAGCCCAACAACTTTTGTGCTATTACCCAAGAGATGCATTTAATTCTTAATCATGAGATGTCCAACACTCCTAGTCAGCCTGCTTTTAGGAGCTGGTCTACTGATGTCTGAAATCAATAAACATTTAATAAAGCTCTTATTCATGAGCCAGAAGTTCTCAGTATTTTGGAGATACTAGCAATCTACACTACTGTATTTACTTGAATCCGAGGCAAGTTCTTTTTTTCCATTTGACATGGGGTGGGAAAGAACACTGTCTTGGATTCAAATACAGTCGGGGCCAGATTCCTGATATGACTCTGACTCCAGGTGTGACCTTTGTTCATGGTCAGGATTATAGCCAATTCCTGGCTACCTGTCCCCCCCACCATAGCCTCTCTACCCCACTTTCCCAGCTGTCATCTCCATCTCTGCCACCTGTCCTGCCACCTCTGTCTCCCTGCCTGCCTCCCCTTACTACTTACCCTGCTCCATCCTGGACCACATGGCTGTTCTAGTCCCAGCCCCGCTACACATCAGCTGAGGTTGGGACTAGGCCAGGGATAGGACTAAGGCTGAAGCTGGTGCTGCAGCTGCTGCAACATAGCCTGCCTAGGGCTGGAGAACCATGTGCCCCATGTTCCAAGCTAGACCCAGTGCTGGAGGCGAGTGGTGGTGTGGGGGTAAGCAGAGGGGAAAAGGTGGGGGGGACAGGCAGCAAGGTGGGGATCAGGCAGGGGACCAGGCACTGGCAGGAGAGGGGTAAGTGGGATGGGGGCTGTGGTGGTGAAGACCAATTTAAGACCATCCAATAATTAGATTCTAGACATGGAAAATTTATAACCAAAGTTGATAAATTTTCCATGTCTAAAACCTAATTAATTGGGGGGGGGGGCCATCTTAAACTCAGCACCATCATGGATTTGAGTAACTAAGGTAATATTTTGGAATTTTTTGCACTTTATAATTTAAATTAAAAATGCTTGAAAATCTCTTGGGGCAAACCCTTCAAAAACCTCATTTACCAAAGCAAATATGAGTTGAGGTAATTCATGTTTTCAGGAGAGGCGCTTCATTGTTTTGACTTCACAGCTAAATACATTAGTATTTGACTAGATACTATTGTGTAATTTTATGTAAGTTTTGGAATTTTAAAACCAGACCCCATTTACAGCAGAAGATTGGTCTGAGGGCCCTGGCAGACATGAATTATGAATTCAGGCCCTCAGATACCAGACTGCCATAAAAAGATCAGTTCTTTTATCATTGAATACATCCATCTCTCAATGATGTCTCAGTTGCCACATAATTGAGCCTTACCTGGTTTTTACATTCAGAACATACACTATATAACCAAGGAGCACAAATTCTATCCTTTTCCTCCTTTAAACATATGATATGAACAAACCAAGTGTGTTGGGATTCTCTGCTCAGTCAGGCTACAACTGGTAGACAGCTGCAAGACTTATACTAATCTTCTGATGTGCAAAGGGAAACTTAGCAAATCTTCTACAAGTATAGACAAGCAAGGATGAGAATAAAGAGAGGTTTCTATGTCTTGGGAGGTATCCGTTTTGTCATTTGTCTTAGTATACACGTAGAATCCATACTATTAAGTGAGAAAGCTGTTTGGGCCATATTCTTGCCAATGAAACCCTTCCTAGGTAACCCTTCCTCTGAAAGAAGAACAGTATGCCTCACTGCACTTTCTGCAGGTATTATAGCTCTCTAGTGGCAAGCATTCTTAACTTGTCTTGTACTACTGGTGAGCTCAATTATGGAAGATTGGATAAGAGAATAATTTAACATTCCAGTTGTATTTTATAAAAAGTTTTCATGCAGTTTGTTTTCTCTTCCAGCTGATAACTTTGTAAACTATTTGACTGCAATGATACAGTTCAAGTCAGGATTTTATTAATGTCATTTATCTGACATATGTTTATAAAGACATGTACTAAGTCACTTTTGTTTTCAGACTCCAGTCACATTTATGTTAAGGCTGTGAGGCACAAAGATGCAATGTAGTTTAACCTCTCAACATCTTTGACAATGCAGAATAAATCTGTAAGTAAAGGTGTTGGTTACAATGTCACACAGTCACCTGGTAATACAGTTAAACAAATGTATTCCTCTTTTGAATTTTAAGATTAGAAAAAAAAGAATTGGAAACAATTAATAGCAATAGGATAATGTTTCTTTCCATACGGAACTGTTCAATAGCCAATACATATTTCAAGTGTATATATAATTGATCTTTGTATAGAAATGACTTGTGGGAATCATGTTCCTTTATTTTCTTTAAATCTGCAAATTATATAGAATGTTTATAATTGTATCTTCTAGGGATTAATTCTCTTTGTGCTCCCTTAATGCTAATGTTAAGGGGAAGCTTAGATGTCCTAAAACTGCCGTATGAAGGAAATC